AGTTTGCTCACATTCCAAGCAACCCCAACATTCATGTTCCTGAGTTCGGCAGTTCTCTTGGAGAAGGATTATCTCCCTTACTAATTTTTTTTTCTTTTTCTTTCCGTTATATTTAAACGGTTACGATTTAGTTACGTTAAAATCTTATATTGATTTTTTATAGAAAGAATAAGACAAAAAATAATATGTGAGAGGAGGGGATGGAAGTAGATGAGAATAAGAGTAGAGAGAATTCTACTCCGTTTCTCTCTTGATCCTTTTTTGGTGGGGAGGAGGTGTCAGATAAATTAATAGAAATGAACGAGGATTCTCTTCGGATCTTTTTTGTGAGGATCCTATGAATCCTCAAATCGTGTCTGTTCATCGTACATCGTGCAGTCATAAATCATTTTAAATACTTTTATTTAAAATTAAATATGAGTAATATCTAACAAAAACTGATCACACGATGTACGATTAATGAACACGATTTAAGGATTCCTAAAATCATCACAAAGAAGATCCGGAGAGTATCCTCGTTCAATCGAAATGTGCAAGAAAAATCTACCCCAATAGGATACCGATACTCTCCGGATCCAAAGCCCAACAGAATCGTGCTGAAGTTCGAAAGCCTGGCCCATTAGTGATCACCCCTACCGGGCCAAGACAAACAATGGGGCCCGTGGCCCAAGTCAGTAACTTGATACGAAGAGTTACCGTTCTAGTCCCCTCGAACGGTTGAACCCTTTACTGCTTCTCCCAAAACCCTCCAGAACCCCCAAAGCTCTCGTTTCGGCGTCTGAGACAAAAATGGTGAGCAAGAGACAGAGAGAAGCTCGGAAGAAATTCCGGGTAGAACACCCGGAACTGGCTAAACAGCCGACTCCGCCCAAAGACCCAACCAGGAAGAAGGACAAGAAGAAGAGCTCGTTCAAGCGCAAAAAAGCACCCAGCGACCCAGCCAAACCCAGCAAAAACCCCCATAGAAAACACCCCCTCAGAGTCCCCGGCATGAAGCCCGGCGACAGCTGCTTCATCTGTAAATCCACCGAGCATATCGCCAAGCTCTGCCCCGAGAAAGTTCAGTGGGATAAGCACAAGGTGTGGTCTTTTTTTCAATTTTCCGATTTAGTTTGAGTTTTCTTTATCGGGGTATTTCTCCGATTGATGAAACTTGGTATAGGTCGTCGAAATGAAATTCATGTGGATAACTGGAAAAATGGATTATACATGCATATGGGTTTGTGGGTATGTTTTGTTTAGCTCTTAGTAATTGGAAATGGCGGTGGATGCTTGAATCGAATTTGGCTTTTTGAATGGTTATTTGCAGAAGTTAATGGAATTGGAATTTTATTTGAAATATGGTTATTTATGGTGTGGAGTGTGGACTGTGGACTGTGGAGTGGATGAAATTCCTGCTTTGATATCGTTGTGATTATCTGATTCTTGCAGATATGTTTATATTGTCGGCAACGTGGGCATAGCATCAAGAATTGCCTCAACAAGAAAGACGATTCTGTGGCTGAGAAGTTATGTTATAATTGTGGGGAAAATGGACATTCGCTTTCTAACTGCCCCTACCCTCTTGAAGACGGTAATCCTTCTAATCGATTAGGTTATGTTAAGTTGGCTTAATATTCGGATGATGCATATGGGAAGCTGTTAATTGGCTGTTCTTTAGTGTGTCTGTGTAGTGGTGGTCAACTGGTCTTTTAAACATGACAGCATGCATTTGAAGTTTACATGAGCGATGCAATGGTTTATAGCATCACGATTCACAAGTAGCATATATTATGGGCAAGCACTAGGTTTGAACAATTTCCAGCTGAAATCATTTACCTTTACTGAAATTAGTAATCCTTGCGCTAAAATCTTTGGTTTCACTGTTGATGTATTATCCAAAAAAATTTATGGAGGGACAATGAATGGAGCTTGAATAAACATGAACTTGAATAGTTAGGAGGGTTGAAAACTTGACATATATTATGTTGTTCGGAACTGCATGCCACTGAAAGAAAAAGTCTAGAAGAGGATATTTGTCCAAAGCTCATATGAGTTGTCGAATTCCTCCCACCACCAGTCTTTCATCATGTGTTATTTTTTCCCAAAGTTCTACTGGGCCGTACACATTACTCAGATAATTACAAATGGCATTTTTGTTTGTCTTTATCGAGTTTTTAATTTTACATCACAAGTAGCATATATCATGTTGAGTGGGAATGTCACTTTGAGTATCCAATTACATATTGGGGACATGTGCACTTTGATAATAACATTTTTACTCTATGGGTATGTTATTGCTTTGTTATTCATTTTGTTTATCTGGTAATGCAGGAGGAACTAAATTTGCCAAGTGCTTCATCTGTAATGGGACGGGTCACTTGAGCAAGAACTGCCCTGAAAATACTCATGGGATTTATCCAAAGGTAAATGAATTAATATTTGTTAATTGACTTTTCATAGCAAAGGGGTTGGAACTTTCAGGACATAGATGTTATTGATTGAAGTTTGAGCCATCCGAGCCAATTTACTTCATGAATGAAATCCGACACTTCCCTTTATGAATGAATTTCATCTCTCAGGGTGGTAGTTGTAAAGTTTGTGGGGGTGTAACACACTTGGCGAAGGATTGTCCTAACAAAAGCAACAGTTCGATGTCTGCTGGTAGATCTCCTCACTCGTGTAAGTCTTCCATTAGAATTCCTTGTTTTGTCTTTCCTTGGAGTTCTTGAGTTCTCAATTTACTTTTTCATCATCTGATGTTCTAACTAACAAATTAGTAGTAGATTAAGGTGGCATAAATGTCCAGGTCTAAGTTTTAAGCAATTTGATGTTAGACCAAGGCATTGGAAAGATATATCTACCTTTTCCTTACTCTTCCGATTTCATTATCTTATGGGGAATACTGACTCCCTCAGGATTAGGCAAAACTACAATCACCTTGATCATGTTTCTGTAAATGATTCTGAATTTTTTGTCCAATTATACGATATCAATCATATTCTTAAATAACGGGTTTTAATTCTTAGGCAGGTTTGGGTAACCTACTTTAGAAAAAAACTGATGTCGTCTCCTCCCTTCACCCTCTCACAATTTTAGTACTATATAATGACAAAAGTTGTGGTATTTTTCAGGTCTTTTACGAAGTATTCTCGTCGATTTTGAATATTTTGTGCCTTCTATTTTTCAGGGAAAGAAAGTGATCTGCCAAGAGGAAAGGTTACAAAATTTCTCAGTGGAGACGACCTTGAGGACGATTTCAGTTTCATAGATGAAAAGCAAAGTGGCGGTACACAACACAAGTCTGCAGATGTAGTTGGTTCTGCATCTCTTTCACAAGAAAGTACTGTAAAATCCAAGAAGAAGAAACAAGGACCCAAAGTAGTGAATTTCGTTGGATAATGATGTTTCACGAGCGAAGAAGAATATCATGTCAATTTTCCAGTCGTTCTTTTGTATGGCACGGGTCACTTCTGTCACGGAGCATTGGCACCATCAAGAGTTTGCCGTAGTCTAAAATAGTCCGACGGTGTTCAGAAATGATTTTTGTAGTTCTTAATGTATAAACCTTGAGTTGTTATTTATCGTAATTTGTTTCGAGTTCTCTTGCCTAAAATAAATGACTCTTTATTTTCTTTCTTTTTATGTTAAAGTATCCAAATCAAACATTATAACATAATTAAGGAGTTGATTAGATGTGGACATGATCAGCCATAGAAGCTTCAGACAATTCTCAACCTTTGTTTTGCCCCTTAAAACTCTCTACTTCCCCGCAAATTTCTGGTCTCTTATGCCCTTCTCCCCCAAAAAATAAGGCTCTCTCTCCCTCTGCTGCTATACTTTCCATCTATCTCTTTCTTTTCCGGCTTTCTTCTTCATTTCGCACTGCACTCCCGTCTCTTTTCCGACGACAAAATGGTATGTCCTCATCTCTCTCTCAAAATAAAATAATTGATGACAAAGGTTAAGACGCATGCTACAAATTCAATCTAACTTCGATTTAACAAAAGCTTTTTGAAATCTTTTTTGTGAACAATACATAATTGGTAGAAATGATCGTAGCCAAGTTGACCAGAGCACGCTCTTCCCTTCCCTATAGTTTGGATTAGATTAGAATATAAATATCGCTCGTGCAACGTCCTCCCCCTCAAATATGTAATATGTATAAGGTTTTTAATACGGTTGTTTGGTTTGGTTTGGGGTAGGCGGTGTCTGGCATGGCCGTGAGTGATGAATGCAAACTCAAGTTCGGGGAGCTAAAAGCGAAGAGAAATTACCGATTCATTGTATTCAAGATTGACAAACAAGAAGTGGTGGTAGAGAAACTTGGCAGCCCAGATGAAACATATGAGGATTTTGCGGAGTCCCTGCCTGCTGATGAGTGCCGCTATGCTGTCTTCGATTTTGATTTCACCACTTCTGAGAACTGCCAGAAAAGCAAGATTTTCTTCATTGCATGGTAATCAATTGACCGAGCCAATTTGCGTTAATTGTTTCCTTAATTAAGCGTCCTTTTCTAAGGTGCTAATGTTATGCATGAAACTTGATTTTCTTAGGTCTCCTGAGATATCAAGGGTGAGAATGAAGATGGTGTATGCAAGCTCTAGAGATCGATTCAAGAGGGAACTTGACGGCATTCAAGTCGAGTTGCAGGCAACTGATCCGAGCGAAATGAGCCTCGACATTATTAAAGGCCGAGCTCTTTAAGCAGCAGATCTTCAACCCTTACTTGACAATTACATTTGCCCATTTTGCTGAGAAGATGTTTTGTTTTTGTAGTTTTCTTCTTCTTTGTATGGGTTCAATACCAACCATGTACTTTATTGTAATATTATGAATTCTTTTATGATTTGCAACTTCTTGCATCAATGTGTTTAATTTAGTCAATACAAGGTTTCATGTCTGCTTCAGAATCTCAAAGTACAAATTCAAGTGGTCGAAAATTCACGATTGGAATTAAGATGACAAGTTAAAAAGAAAAAAAAAGAAAAAAGTAAATTGAGATATGTTTGTTTAGAGAAAGACCTATGAAGACTTCGACAGAGACTTTAAGAAAAGATATGAAGTACTTGGAGCTAACAAAAGACTTGATGTAAAACTGAACGTATTGATGTTCTAGGATTCATATAACCAACTCCACTTAATGGAATAAGGCCTTGTTGTTGTTCTTGTAGTGGAAAATCTTTCTGCTAATAATATTTAGAAAGGAGTAATCATAAGATAGGTTAAGTTGTAGGTACTCAAAACTAGTTGTATACACCAGTACATATCATATATATCTATGTGTATGTGTTTATATATAACCCTCTCTATGACTGCTCATGATCCTTCCAATAATTCTTCTCCCATGTTTCTACTTGTTTGATTGAACTTTCTTTTCTACGAAGCACTTCAAAAAGAGACGCCGGATCATAAGGCGGAGGCAAGCTGCAAGGTTCACTGACTGCAGGACCCTTCACCAAAGATTCCATCATAAATTTCTTTTCTAATCCTTCTGCTTGGCAAGCCATTGCCTCCGAGCAGAGTTCAATCGCTTTTTGAGGTATCCTAGGCTTGAATTGTAAGAGGTTTGCGTACTCGTTTAAAAGATGAAACATGTAGTCATACACATAGTCCATCTTCAAGTCCTCTTGAATTAACTTACTTGATGCCCTTCCAATTGCTTGCGCCTAAAGAAAACAATGAAAAGCAATGATATTAAGAAAAATAAATGTTGAAATCTGGAGAAAAATCGTAATGATTGAATTACAGTACCTTTTTCTTGTGACTGTTGCCCCAATCAACAGCAAACTTGATAGATCTGCACTTGTCATCATACTTTATGGGCCAGTAGTGGTGCAGCGGCATCAAAGTTCTCGTGAAGAAATCGTAGTAACGGGGCTTTACTATCAACGTAACAGAATCACATGCAAGAATGTACTTTTCACTCACAGACCAAGCAGAGCCTTCTATGTAGATCTTGTACCTGCAATATCGTGCATGGAATGAGCAAAGTAGTGCAATTAGGAATGTCGAAAGTTCAATAAACACGCAGTCATAAACTGTACCTATGAACGCATTGGCTTGCTAAATCAGATCTCTTGAACCCTTCCTGTGCTTCGCGAGACCAATCCTGCGTTGATTTTTCAAGAACAATGTCAGATTCTGTACTTTTGGTCTCAATGGTAAAACTGGAACAGTAACAAAATGAGATGGATATAATTAGGTAAAAAGTACCTGAGCATAAAGGCGAGCATACCAATCATACTGGTCAGAAACATTGCATGTCATGAGTTCTTGCCTGTGTTCAGCAATAGTTGGATTTCCCTTCCAATAAGCATAAGGTTCTCTATCTAGCCATTTGCTCCTCTTGTTGCCTTCCTCTAGGTTCTTTAACAAAGTCTCCCATGGCCTTATATTGATTTCAGCCCTACACAAGTAAGAATGTGACTTACATGTCATCTTTTAACGATCTTTGGGCCGTGAATCAGACCTAAACCCTAATTCCTGATTCTTGACAATCTCAAGGACACACTCCCATTTATGTAATTACATGACCACATAACATGATAAGAGATTACGATGAGTGAATACGTTCAGAGGGGGATATCTCACCAATTATCAACGAAAAAAACTAAGTAAACAAGAAGGAAAAAGTCGAGAAGTCTTACCATCCCCAAAAGGACCAATCAGGAAAGACAATGTCAAGGGTGCTGTCATCCCCACAATAGCGAAACAACGGCGGTGGAGTAGTGGAGTTGGGGCCGTCATAATCTCCTGACAAAATGACGGGCCAGTCAACGCAGTCAAACATCATCTCCAGATCCGGCACCTTCCCTGGGTACTTCCGTAACAACTGTAGGATCCCCCATATTGTAGAAGTATCTCTGGTCTGAAACGCCTTCTCATATTGCTCGACGTAAGCCTTGCCATTCACAATCACCAGCTTGAAATTGGCCGTCCGATTAGCCCTCTCCACCATGTCCCGTGTGATCCCGGTGTGGGCCCATGGCCGTAGGTCTTCGTGTATCCAACGAAAGTATTCCGGACATGTGGGCGATGACGGACGATCAGGATCTTGCTCCGGGTGGAATGTGGTAGGGTAGTTTGAAGGGCAGGTAGTTGTGAGGTTGTAGGCTGTGCAGTTGAGTGGGATTTCGAATTGGCTCGAGGGGTTTTGGGGAATTTGACCGGTTTTGTTAGGGTATGTTTGGGAAGTTTTGGTGGTTAATATAGGTACTTGGGATGAAGTAGTACTAATTAGAGTCTCTGTCTGTTAAAAATGGAGAAACAGGCAAACAAAGCTCATCAGTAAAATGCTATATAGACCAATAAACCTAAAGAGAGCGTAATGACTGATCTTATACGACAACACACTCACAGGGAGTGCGAATAGTTGGAGCGCAATTTAGAAGGGTTTTAGTAATCAACTCTACTCGATATGTGGCCCAATAATACCTATGAAGTTAACATTAACGAATACACTTGCAACATATGCTAGAAAAAACTTCTATGTAACAGGTTGATTGCCTTCAGCCTTAGAAGAGGGAAGAAAGATAAAGCCTTGTGGGATGGGTATCTCCACTTGGCAAGAACATTGCTTAGTTAAAACGTAAGAGGATACATCACTCTAGTTTTGTAACACGTGTTGTATTTTGACTAGACAATGTCCTTACCAAATTTTTTCTTAAAAAGAGAAATGAGCGGTATAAACCCTTTAGAAGTAAGTTATTTCCCGAGGAACATATATTCTCGCAACATACAACATTGATTAATGTCATTTTGACAAACATCGTTTGCCTTGTACGTTCTTCATGATTAGAAAATATAAAATAAAAACAAAAGTAAAAGATGAATATTGGAAACAATGGTGGCAGATAGTGATATATATGATTACTTACGGAGGAGTTGAGCAAGCGTGTGCAAACAAGCGCGCCGACGAGGACGAAGAGGAAGACGAAGATGGCAGATAATCTTGCAGGCGACTCCATGAAATGGCCGCAAGATAAAGATAGTGCCCTTGTCTGAAAACTCAAATGGCTATAAATATATGACCCGGTTGACAGAAAAATATTATCGGACCTGTACGACGACAAGTAGTACTTTTGGCTCCCTCGTATCCCCGAGGTTAATTATCCGATCCGTACAATGACAAGTAGTACTTTTGGCTCCCTCATACCGCCAAAGTTTTCTTTAAAAATAAAAAATTACTTTTGGCTCTGAATGTCTGTATATTCTCTTACAATCTTTGTTAACTAGTTTTTGGGAGTCCTCGTAGTTTTGTGGAAAACCATGTTTCTAAATCCGTAGTTGGAAACCAAATTCCACGGATCTAAGTGGTGGTACTTATTTCTCGAAATAGTAAGATCGTTTTATTTTGAATGGTTGAGCTTGAATTTTTTTAGGGCACACACCCACATTGTTAAGTTTTGTCTTCCGATATTCTTTAATTCATTCGATCTGACGGTAAAAAATTTAGATAATTCAGTTTGTACATTAAACTGAATTAATTCAAGAAAAAGAAGATGCTGGAAAATGTGAGTGATATTTTAGGTGCCAGTGTCATGCATGCAACTTGAATCAGGGCCCCCAGAATGTGAGGCCCTAGGCGATCGCCTCTTCCGAACCTCCTCAGATCCGGCCTTGGCCTGAGTGAGCAGTAATATGTATTTTTAATTTTCTTTCAATTCCACTAAAAATATCATAATTTAATAATATCCCATCTGTCCTAGTTTGTATAGAATTCCATTTGCATGGATGGAACATATATATGGAAAATCATCTGTATACATCAGTCTACGTAACCATATCTCTATGATTGCTTTCTCTGATTCTCCCAGTAACTCCTCTCCCATGTTTCCACTTGTTTAATTGAGTTTGCTTGTCTCCTAAGTAATGCAAAAAGAGACGCCGGATCAAAAGGCGGAGGCATGGCGCATGGATTCCTCTCGGCAGGACCCTTCACCATAGAGTCCATCATAAATTTCTTCTCTAATCCTTGCGCTTGGCAAACCATTGCCTCCGAGCAGAGCTCAACCGCTTTTCGAGGTATGGTGGGCTTGAACTGTAAGAGCTTTGAGTATTCGCTTAACAGATGAAACATGTAGTCGTACACATAGTCCATCTTCAAATCCTCTTGAATCATTTTGCTTGCTTCCTTTCCAATGGATTGTGCCTGAAGAAACCAATGCAATACGTAAACAGATATGGAAATCTGCGGAAAAAGCCTAACAATCGAAATTATTACCTTTTTCTTATGACTGTTGCCCCAGTCAACAGCAAACTTAATAGATCTGCACTTGTCATCATCTTTTATGGGCCAGTAGTGGTGCACCGGAATCAAACCTCTCGTGAAGAAATCATAGTAACGGGGCTTAACGATTAAGGTAACAGAATCACATGCAAGAATGTATTTTTCACTCACAGACCAAGCAGATCCTTCTATGTAGATCTTATACCTGCAATGATTGTGCATAGAGGAAACAGAAGTCAGGCAATTAGTTACAGAATGGCCAAACTGGATCATAGATGTTGACAATAATTAAAGCAGTTTCAGCCAAATTAAACTCCAACTGATAGTTGGATGTTTCTACCTATGAACGCATTGGCTTGCCAAATCTGATTGCTTGTATCCTTCCCTTGATTCTTTAAACCAATCCTGCGATTTATTTTTCAAAAACATTGTCAGATTCTGTACTATTGCTACATATGGTCTGAATTTTTTTACTAAGCAGCAACTGTCGGAACTGTTAACCGAAGGAGAAATTGGTTAACGGTACTATTGCTATAAGGCAGATTAGAGGTACAATAGGAACAATTAAACAAAGGAGAAAATGGTTGACGGTACTTGAGCATAAACGCGAGCATTCCAGTCCGTTTGCTCGGAAACATTACATTTGAGGAGGTCTTTCCTGGTTTCAGCAACAAATGGATTTCCCTTCCAATAAGCGTACGGTTCTCTGTCTATCCATTTGCTCCTATTGTTGCCTTCCTCTAGGTCCTTTAACAAAAGCTCCCATGGCTTTATATTGATCTCCGACCTACAAAACAAAATGGGAACCTAGGTACCATTTTTGAACGGATATAAGAATAAAATTACACCAACCTACATTTGGCAATACACTCCATCTTTGGATCGTCAACTGTGATTCGTTAAGTGTAGGACTGATACTCAGGGTGCACTGTGCACCCAATTGAATAAATTCATTAGCATTACTAACAGATTAGCAGTATGTTCACTTAACTTGTAGCACAAGCCACGAAGGGCTAAGGTTATGAATTATTGTACCAATGAAAAACATGATTTCAAAAGAAAAAGAAAAGGTCAAGAAATCATACCATCCCCAAAACGACCAATCAGGGAAGACAATATCGAGTGATCTGTCATCACCACAGTAGCGAAACAATGGCGGTGGAGCCGTGGAATTGGGCTGGCTGTAGAACCTTGATAAGATGACGGGCCAGTCAACACAGTCAAACATGAGCTCCAAATCAGGCACTTTCCCTGGATACCTCCGTAACAATTGTAGGATCCCCCACAATGTAAAAACGTCTCTCGTCTGAAACGACTTCTGATATGTCTCCAAGTAAGCCTTGCCATTGAGGATCACCAACTTGAAATTGGCCGTACGCTTGGCACTCTGTACCATGTCTTTTGTGATCCCGGTCAGGGCCCATGGCCTTAGGTCCTCGTATATCCAACGGAAGTACTCCGGACACGTAGGTGGTGGTGATGGACTGTCGGGATCTTGCTCTGGGCTAAAGGTGGTAGGGTAGTTTGATGGGCAAGTTCGTGTGAGGTTGTAGGCAGTGCAGTTGAGTGGGATTTCCAATTTGGGTGGAGGACTTTTGGGAATATTAGGAGTTTCGGGAGGGTGCTTTTGGGATGCTCCGGTCGTTACTACTGATCCTTGCGAAGTATCAACTAGAGTCTGTGTTTGTCACTCGACGCAAAAGCAAAAATTCATGTCAAGCAGTATAACCAATAACCTAAAAGATGTAAACATTTTTTACGTCAACACAACACCAACAAGCATGCATTCCTTTGTCATCTAACGACGAGAACAACATTTTTTATGTCACAATTAGTCATACGGATTCAACGTGAAAAACATAATTCCGCTGTTGACTACCTGATGCACTCTTCCTTCTTTTTTATTCGGGTTTGAGACCAGCAATATAAAATAAACTTACACAAATGAAGTTTTTCCACGTCACCATTAGTATATGACTAAATGTCAACAACTGACACTATAAAGACCAAAGTGAAACTTTGCCAAACTAGTTGGACCAAAATAATTATCTGTCCATTTTTCTAAGAACAATGCAATTGACACCATGATTAGGATTGGATTAAAATAATCTTTTGGGGGTGAATTAGTCAATTTGGATTAACGACGCACATTTATCGTCAATTGAAAAGAAAGAAGAAAAAAAAAAGTATAGGTGCACCGGTTTATAGACGTCAGGTGTGAGGTGAGACACCACCCTACGTGCTTGTCCCATCAGGCTAAGGGTTTGCTGTCCCCAAATTTCATATCTCTTTTATGTCTTCCTTCTTATTTGACACGTGTCTTCTAACTTCATTCCAAACTAATACGGTTAACTTTTCGTATAATTAAAAATATATTACATTTTCTTTAAAAAGTAAAAAAAAAAAATCTGAAACGATCTTCATCCTTCCTCACTCGATCTCCCAGAGCTCACCTTCGAGCCAACCACCCCTTCAGGCATCCCCCACTCGCTTTTCTCCTTTGTCCTAATCCATTTGAATGAAATGAAGATTTAACTAGAGGAGACATCACCCTTGACTTGTTTTGGATAATGGAGAAATTCAAGCTAGTAAACGAAGTTGGGGCTTCCAGCTTTCAATCGGGGAAAGAGAAGAGAAAGCATGAAATTAAAAGTTGGGTTGTTCTGGGGGTGGGTCTGGTGGTTGCCATTGCTCACCACCGACGAAGCATCGGTTTAATATCCTCCTTGAATCCCAACTATCAAACTTTGATAGAATATTTGTTCTTTGACATGCTGGAATCACGATCTAGTGCAGGATTTGAAAAGAGAGAGAGAAAGGAAGCTTTGCCGGCGGTGAGGTGGACCGACAACGGTGATGGGGTTGTGTGTTGTGTGTGCTCGGGAGTCTAAATTATTTTCCCGTTGGTTTTTTAAACATTTAATTTTTGGTAATATAATTAATTTTATGAAAAATTTAACAGTGTTAATTTAGGGTTAAGTTGAAAAACAAAATATGATAAAAGTGACACATAAGAGACATGAGATTCAGGGGCAGCAAACCCTGGGCCGTCCCATCAGTGCATGCTATAACAGCACGTTAACCGACAGTCACGGCAAATGTTAAGCAGCCCTACATTATTCTCACGACGTACGACATCGAATCATGCCGTTTGACGGACGTCGTTTGACTTTCGCACCTTCTGGCCTTTTTCCCAGTTCTTGACATTACCATTTGCAGATGATACTACGTTTATACCATGGAAAAAGCTTGGCTGCTAAAAAAATCAGCAGCAGCTTTTGCTGCGAATTACGGATAGACACGTGTTCAAGTTATGATTAAAAAATTAATTACTTGGATATATGTTTACTCGTGATTCGCTAGAGGCAGTTGCTGCTGATTTTTCAAGGCTTCGTTCTTGTACCATTCAACTATGTGAGTCGAAAATAATTTTTTTATTTATAAAATGATATTTTTATAAATACAAAAATGGTCTTTAATAGTCTAAAGACTCTAAACTACTAAAAAATAATCCAATATTATATTAATTAGATTAACAGAAAATATAAAAATATTACTTGATTTAATCTTGACCGTTTTATTTTAACTAATAAAATTATCAATGTTTGGAAAAAATAAAAGAAAAACTATTAATAAAAAAACCAGGAAATAAAAAATGAATATTGGAAACAGGTGTGTGAAACAGTGTGGAGCAAAAAGACTTACAGGGAAGTTGATAAGGCGCGTACAGACAAACGCGCCGAAGAGGAGGAAGACGAAGACAGCGGAAAATCTCGCAGGTGACTTCATAAATGGCCGCAAATATAAGATAGCTTCAGTGAAGTGAGTGTACAAGTAGTGCCTCTGCGTACTTTCGTTCTCTCTCATCCCTTTTCTCCGCAAACACTCTCTCAATTATCCTTTCGCCCTCCTTCTTGTTCTCTGAGAACCAAGATTTGACTTCACAGGTGGAAAAAATCCAGGGATTTGGTCAACTGGGTAGGAGGAGGAACTTGTTTCCTGAAACGGGTCGGGTTTAGTTTTGACTGGTTGAAGCTGTATGGAGCAGATGAAGTTGGTGCGTTTGGTTGGGAGCCAATGAGAAAAGGTTGAGTTTTGGTTGGTTAATTGAGCGTGGAAGTTGAATTAATGCTGAAAGTAGATGTGTGGGAGGCGGAGGCAGAGAATCTGATATGAGATCTAGATCGTGAACTTACTTAATAAAATGGAGAAATGACCGAATTGAAAAGGATTGTTTGGTAATTAGCAAAATTTGTAGGACTAGCAGTAGATCGGAG